TCAACACAAACACCCCAGGCATCTCTGTGCGACCGTGTGTGTGTGTGTGTGTGTGTGTGTGTGTGTGTGTGTGTGTGTGTCTACCTGTGATGATCAGACACTCGTTATCGTCCAGTGCTTCAGTGAAGAGCCGAGCAGCGATGAGCTCTGGGTTTATCAGGAAACGGATTTCCTCCTGAACCAGACCAGAACCAGTCACTCCCCCCCCAACGAACCGGTTGGCAAAGTCCACCTGCAGAAAAACACACACACACACACACACAGCATGCCCAGGTCATATTTCACAATAGAATTACATCATGAAAATGAATCAGTTTCAGTCAGCAGGACCGTCTGGAGTTTGAGAGCCTCAGTATCACAGTAAAGAGAATCAGCACTGTGAGAATAATGAGAATAATAAAAATGCATTAAAATAAGGAGAATAGGATTTATTTTCTGCATTACAGTAATGAAAATGATGCGACAATGCAAAGTGAATGTCTTGTTCTAGTGTGAAACGTGAGCGTGTTTTTCACATGTCACCTGCAGCATGCCGTAGCCCTGGTCTTCTATGCTTCCGTCACAGCTGATGCGAAGCTTGCTGAACTGCTTTTCTGAACTAAAAACCAAATGAAGACTGTTTATTGGCCTGTGGGAAGCGAAGCGCTGTGGAGTGTGTGAAGATCGATCTCACCTCGACCAGGAGGGCAGACGCTGCAGACACTGTCTGGTGTACGTTATGAGACCGGCGGGCCCTCGGATCAACAAAACACACCACAAACAGCATTAACCCACCGATTCATGAATGAACGAGTGTGTGACGTGCAGAGAAGCCAAACTCACTCTGCTGCGTGACCCGTCTAAAGTACCACAGGAGGGTTTTGAGTTTCTCCTGTTTTCTCTGAGACGAACCTTCAAACAACCTACAAAACACAGAGCAGATTGTATGGAAGGCCAGTCTGAGATTTCATATTCATAAACGACATGAAAGTCACTGACGTCTGACCTGCGTGATGAAGACTGAATGCGCTCATGCACGAGATCTACAACAACTTACATTCACAGAAAACACTGTCTAATGCCTCTGAGAAACCTGACGTCATGTCTCTCATCACACACATGTATGTATTTATGGAGTTATTCGTTATTAAGTAGTTGTGTAATCTTCACTCAGCTAGTCGGTTTTCTTTTCTAATAATAACTGGCAGCAAAGTAAACCAGATGCAATATGAAAAGTCCGATCACATGATGTTGCTAGCAATCTCTGATCATTGGCTCACTCTTTTCAGATACTGAACCTCTGGACTGATCGTGTTTGACTGCTGTATATGGCACCTGCTGAAGTTGATGTCAGGATAGTTGCTGAACTCCGCCCGTCGAGAGTTTCGTCGAGGAAAGGTGCAGAAGAAAGCGTTCGCCAGCAGACACGAGACCTGCTCCTGAGACAGCGTGAGGGATCGACAGCGCTGCGTCCTCAACAGCGGGATCGGCTGAACACACAGAGCAGAAATACACAGATTCAGACTGATTTCATCAACAAAAACACATCAAAATGCCTCCACAGGCCGAAAATGCTCTTGACTTTACTGAGGTTTATTAGCAAAGGTGGACAGCAACACAACGTCTTTTACTCTGTTGCTGTACTTCAGTTCATTAGTTCAGTATTTTCATTCTGGGAAATATTTACTTCACTACATTCCATGTCAGGAGTGTAAAAAGATACAGAGAAATTGTACTTAAGTTAAAGTACGAGAACTGTGCCTTTATGTAAAGTCAAATCTAATCAAACACTCATTGAGTGAAAGCAAAAAGAGCACATTAAATTATATTAAAGCATTTAAACACTAATGGAGATGGCCAAAATAACAACACATAAAGCACCGATGAACAAACTCCACAAACAGGAATTAAACTACTAGTTAGTGTCCAGCTAGAAAATCCCATCTGGCATGTACAGGAGACACTTTCACAACTTAACTAACCAACACAAACTAAAAAAAGTTTGGTTTTAATTTACTTCATTCAAGTCAAGAGATGTAGCAGAAGTTCTGCCATTTATTGACATTCATCATATTTCTGTAATAACAGTTATGAGTCAAATCCCACGGCGTGCCAGTGTAGAAACACGCTATTCTCAGTCAAGCAGGGATGAAAACGTCCAATGACAGAGTTTACGCAAATAAAATCAGTACTTTTCATCAATGAGACTGCACTGACTATCAGATGAGAACAAAACTTGAACTGAATTAAACTGTTTAATGACATGATTGTCTTCTGCTTTTTATCTGAATCATTTGGTTCGAAATTGACAAATTTTGCGAGATTGTCATTGTTATTGAACTGAATTGAATCAACACTGAACTGACTCGAGCTGAATAATCACACTAATGTCTTCTGTAGAGCTGCTTTACAGCAGAATTGGAAATGATCTCATATTTGATGATGTTTGCATCATCGATTCTATTATGTTCCTATTTAATACTGCGAAGCTGCTTTGAAACGTCTGTATTGTATAAAACGCTACGGAAATAAATGTACCTTGACTTTCTTTGAATGACTTGAGCTTCATTCAGTTAAAGCAGAGCAGAGCAGTACTTCTGCTTCTGATACTCAAACACATGCAGTGATGACCAGCTGAATTATCAAGCTTGTAGAAAATATAGTTTCTCTTTTTAACTTTCTTGAGATGATAGATTTAAACTGGAGCTACAGATGGTGATTCTCTGCATTCAGCTGTATTACAGGAGGTAAAGACAGAGTCTAAATCACACAAATCACTGTAACTAACTACTGAACTGCTGGGGAACAGGCCGGGAAAACTGTTTTCTCAGTGGTGTTGTGGAGACACACCAGTCACTACAGAGCCCAAAACAACACAACTCCTCAGAAGAGACTGGAGAGCAAAGGAGGAAACATTATATGAACAGCAGAGAAGGAGAGAGATCTGACCATCAGTCCGTCAAAAACACACTGAGAAACCAGAGGAGCTTTGAAACCTGCAGCTGAGATCAATCAATGTTCTCACTGGTGGAGGATCAGTGGGCGGAGACTACATCAGTCAATCAACGAGTGCTCGAGCGTTCTCATTGGTGGAGGAGCAGTGGGCGGAGACTACATCAGTCAATCAACGAGTGCTCGAGCGTTCTCATTGGTGGAGGAGCAGTGGGCGGAGACTACATCAGTCAATCAACGAGTGCTCGAGCGTTCTCATTGGTGGAGGAGCAGTGGGTGGAGACTACATCAGTCAATCAACGAGTGCTCGAGCGTTCTCATTGGTGGAGGAGCAGTGGGCGGAGACTACATCAGTCAATCAACGAGTGCTCGAGCGTTCTCATTGGTGGAGGAGCAGTGGGCGGAGACTACATCAGTCAATCAACGAGTGCTCGAGCATTCGCATTGGTGGAGGATCAGTGGGCGGAGACTACATCAGTCAATCAACGAGTGCTCGAGCATTCGCATTGGTGGAGGATCAGTGCTTCTATGCTTCCGTCACAGCTGATGCGAAGCTTGCTGAACTGCTTTTCTGAACTAAAAACCAAATGAAGACGGTTTATTGGCCTGTGGGAAGCGAAGCGCTGTGGAGTGTGTGAAGATCGATCTCACCTCGACCAGGAGGGCAGACGCTGCAGACGCTGCATACACTGTCTGGTGTACGTTATGAGACCGGCGGGCCCTCGGATCAACAAAACACACCACAAACAGCATTAACCCACCGATTCATGAATGAACGAGTGTGTGACGTGCAGAGAAGCCAAACTCACTCTGCTGCGTGACCCGTCTAAAGTACCACAGGAGGGTTTTGAGTTTCTCCTGTTTTCTCTGAGACGAACCTTCAAACAACCTACAAAACACAGAGCAGATTGTATGGAAGGCCAGTCTGAGATTTCATATTCATAAACGACATGAAAGTCACTGACGTCTGACCTGCGTGATGAAGACTGAATGCGCTCATGCACGAGATCTACAACAACTTACATTCACAGAAAACACTGTCTAATGCCTCTGAGAAACCTGACGTCATGTCTCTCATCACACACATGTATGTATTTATGGAGTTATTCGTTATTAAGTAGTTGTGTAATCTTCACTCAGCTAGTCGGTTTTCTTTTCTAATAATAACTGGCAGCAAAGTAAACCAGATGCAATATGAAAAGTCCGATCACATGATGTTGCTAGCAATCTCTGATCATTGGCTCACTCTTTTCAGATACTGAACCTCTGGACTGATCGTGTTTGACTGCTGTATATGGCACCTGCTGAAGTTGATGTCAGGATAGTTGCTGAACTCCGCCCGTCGAGAGTTTCGTCGAGGAAAGGTGCAGAAGAAAGCGTTCGCCAGCAGACACGAGACCTGCTCCTGAGACAGCGTGAGGGATCGACAGCGCTGCGTCCTCAACAGCGGGATCGGCTGAACACACAGAGCAGAAATACACAGATTCAGACTGATTTCATCAACAAAAACACATCAAAATGCCTCCACAGGCCGAAAATGCTCTTGACTTTACTGAGGTTTATTAGCAAAGGTGGACAGCAACACAACGTCTTTTACTCTGTTGCTGTACTTCAGTTCATTAGTTCAGTATTTTCATTCTGGGAAATATTTACTTCACTACATTCCATGTCAGGAGTGTAAAAAGATACAGAGAAATTGTACTTAAGTTAAAGTACGAGAACTGTGCCTTTATGTAAAGTCAAATCTAATCAAACACTCATTGAGTGAAAGCAAAAAGAGCACATTAAATTATATTAAAGCATTTAAACACTAATGGAGATGGCCAAAATAACAACACATAAAGCACCGATGAACAAACTCCACAAACAGGAATTAAACTACTAGTTAGTGTCCAGCTAGAAAATCCCATCTGGCATGTACAGGAGACACTTTCACAACTTAACTAACCAACACAAACTAAAAAAAGTTTGGTTTTAATTTACTTCATTCAAGTCAAGAGATGTAGCAGAAGTTCTGCCATTTATTGACATTCATCATATTTCTGTAATAACAGTTATGAGTCAAATCCCACGGCGTGCCAGTGTAGAAACACGCTATTCTCAGTCAAGCAGGGATGAAAACGTCCAATGACAGAGTTTACGCAAATAAAATCAGTACTTTTCATCAATGAGACTGCACTGACTATCAGATGAGAACAAAACTTGAACTGAATTAAACTGTTTAATGACATGATTGTCTTCTGCTTTTTATCTGAATCATTTGGTTCGAAATTGACAAATTTTGCGAGATTGTCATTGTTATTGAACTGAATTGAATCAACACTGAACTGACTCGAGCTGAATAATCACACTAATGTCTTCTGTAGAGCTGCTTTACAGCAGAATTGGAAATGATCTCATATTTGATGATGTTTGCATCATCGATTCTATTATGTTCCTATTTAATACTGCGAAGCTGCTTTGAAACGTCTGTATTGTATAAAACGCTACGGAAATAAATGTACCTTGACTTTCTTTGAATGACTTGAGCTTCATTCAGTTAAAGCAGAGCAGAGCAGTACTTCTGCTTCTGATACTCAAACACATGCAGTGATGACCAGCTGAATTATCAAGCTTGTAGAAAATATAGTTTCTCTTTTTAACTTTCTTGAGATGATAGATTTAAACTGGAGCTACAGATGGTGATTCTCTGCATTCAGCTGTATTACAGGAGGTAAAGACAGAGTCTAAATCACACAAATCACTGTAACTAACTACTGAACTGCTGGGGAACAGGCCGGGAAAACTGTTTTCTCAGTGGTGTTGTGGAGACACACCAGTCACTACAGAGCCCAAAACAACACAACTCCTCAGAAGAGACTGGAGAGCAAAGGAGGAAACATTATATGAACAGCAGAGAAGGAGAGAGATCTGACCATCAGTCCGTCAAAAACACACTGAGAAACCAGAGGAGCTTTGAAACCTGCAGCTGAGATCAATCAATGTTCTCACTGGTGGAGGATCAGTGGGCGGAGACTACATCAGTCAATCAACGAGTGCTCGAGCGTTCTCATTGGTGGAGGAGCAGTGGGCGGAGACTACATCAGTCAATCAACGAGTGCTCGAGCGTTCTCATTGGTGGAGGAGCAGTGGGCGGAGACTACATCAGTCAATCAACGAGTGCTCGAGCGTTCTCATTGGTGGAGGAGCAGTGGGCGGAGACTACATCAGTCAATCAACGAGTGCTCGAGCGTTCTCATTGGTGGAGGAGCAGTGGGCGAAGACTACATCAGTCAATCAACGAGTGCTCGAGTGTTCTCATTGGTGGAGGATCAGTGGGCGAAGACTACATCCGTCAATCAACGAGTGCTCGAGTGTTCTCATTGGTGGAGGAGCAGTGGGCGAAGACTACATCCGTCAATCAACGAGTGCTCGAGTGTTCTCATTGGTGGAGGCTGAATGGAAGGAAACTAGATAAACTCAGAGAACGAGCACGTAATCAAGACTCTTGTTGGCAAAAACAGCCCAGCAGGAAACTCTGAGCAAAAAATTACAATTAACAGAAAGAGAGACCAAAAAAAAAAAAAAAGAGAAAGATAGATGTAGAAATTAAATAGCATCTGAAGACATGAATAGAGAAGATGAACAGAGCAGGTCTCACTTAGGTCCTGTACCTGCGTGAGGAGGCTCGGCGCTCTCAGTGCCAGCTGTGCCATCGCTGGAAGCAGCTCTCCAAACATCTGCTGAGCTTCAGACGCCTGCAGACCCTAGAAACAGACTCAGAGAGCGTTAGTCGTTGGTCTGGGGTCATCTGGGACAGTCAGACTTTCTGTTGAACGAGTGTCATGGAGCAAACAAACACATTAAACACGTGAAGAATATCTTATTAATCGCTCACAGATCCTCAACTCTCCTGTCTCTGAAAGACTCACTGATTCCCAGTCATCACACGTTTCATTTTAGAAGAAAAACTATGTGAAGCTAGAAAGTACAAAAGCGCAGCACAAACATAAGCAAGTCTAGCAGACTGAACTGAGATGCATTCTGTGGTCTAGTGTAAGTTCAGTAATCAGTCTGTTTCACAGCAGAGCACAGATAAACTCTCTGTGTGCTTCTGCGTCTCAGAGCACCTTTTGTTGTGTCCTGCTGATTCTAGTTCATGCCCCTTAAACACCAGAGAATCAAACACAGACAAGAAAGACACTGTTGGTCAATCAAGAGACCGAAAGTATTTTTATTTCTGGTCAGAGACGGATCTTTCCTGCTCTGCAGACACAAACACACTCCGTTACTTCATCTGCATTTTTATTCTCATTTACAGACAAACCATGACAAGCTGAAATTAATTTTGTCAAGACGGACCTTCAGAGCTTTTACAGTTTGACACTAACGAGCAGAAGAAATGCAGGCGCTCTTCAAAGCTGTCCGACCAAACCATCACACAACAGGAAAACAAACGCCCGTAAAATCACACCGGCTGCGGGTCCATCGCTCCTCAGACTCAAGCGGCCCAATCAGCAGTTTATGACATGTGCACTGACACACGCACACACACACACACACAAACTCACACACTCAAACTCACTCACACACACACACGTCAGTCTATCATAGATGATAGTTACTCCACTCTTATTTACGATGGCAGTGTCAGGATAATCAATCTAAAGAGCAATTTCATCAGGTCTCTGAGGTTTCCCGTCTGATTAAAACACGTCCTGGAACAAATGCAGATAAGGACGGGTGTCCTCAAACGGGTCCAGCTCGGGACACATTTGTACGACAACCAGAAAAGAAGAGCAGAGGAAGGTCATAAATAACGGTGATATCGTAAAACCGGAGAGCAGGACAGCAGCCAGCTGAGACTTCAAATCAACAAAACACACGGCAGATCCTTCACAATCTGATGTCACCTTGATTCATTTATTCTGTCGTCACTTCTGTTCATAACGCTGCTGAGTCTGCCTACAGCAATTAACATGCTGTGAAGTGTGTCTGACTCTGCGATGTTCAGAGAGAAAACAAACAATCAGACGCTGTCAATCAAACTCACACGGCCCCGCCCTCTCCTCCCGTCCGGCAAACTGAACCTGTCAATCAAACTCACACGGCCCCGCCCTCTCCTCCCGTCCGTCAAACTGAACCTGTCAATCAAACACATCACATACATCTTTACAATCGCTGTCTAACGCAAAACATTCAGGACCTTTCATAAAACATCAGAGTAAAGAAACTCTCGTTACTGCACAAACGAACATCATTAACAGACCACCGCTGAGGCTGACACCAGGTTTGGCAGGTAAAGGTTAGAGTTAACCAATGAAAACAGAAACAAACACTTAACTGTCCATCAGCTTCTCTGCACAATAACCAATATAACTTAAAGCAGGAGGACAGACCGCGTGATATTTATCAGATTCTGACAGCACAGCCATGCTTATAAGAGCTCAAATTGGCATCATGTTTTTTTCACTGCTGTCTTTCCTTTGACATCTGAAGATTTCCTCTCTTAAAGAGGTTAAACAATTAAGAATATTAAAATAAAGTTCATTATACTCTGAAAATATACGGTAGTGACTCTCAGAACTCTAATTTACTGAAACTAATCAGCACAATATTGACATCACGAGCTCATTAGCATATGCCCGCCCACATTCCCTGTCAGCGACGCCTATCGAGGGATCAGGTGACGTATTAAAGAGGAAGCAGGACAGATACTAGTATCCCTGAGCATTCATTTAAATGTCTTTCATTTATAAAGGTCAGAGACGGTGGAAAATGGTCATGAAAAACCACATTACTTCTTCAATTCAACTGTCAATTCAAAAACATTTTAAATAAAATCATTAACATATATCTTATGAATTATTTTACTTATTTTCTGAAGGATATGAGCAGTATTATCTGCACTTAAGAATCTCCATCCAATTAACTATATGCACAATACTTTCATATATATATTTTCATATATACTGTATATATATATACTTGTGAAATCTCAACCGTGTGGGATTTATAACGACAGGGAGTTCAGGTGTAATTCGTGCACAGAGACGTTGCTCTCCTCAATCAGGGAACTGAACATGAAACATGAACACAGCAATTACTGAAGAGAAACTAATGCAAGTGAAGCATAAATACATAAAAATCTGTAAAATTTCATTTTCTCTGTTCTAAATCACATTTCCAAATCAAAAATAAAGACCATATGGTAATTTGATGTATGCTTTTGACACAATTAAAGCTCATGGTCTATTATATTCCTTCATTACATTCATTAAATGCATGAGTGGTTCGATTACAGAGATCTAATAAAGCAGAAACGAAGCACTTCTGAACTTCCTGTTCTTCATTCTGCTCTGTTAGTATTGATTTCTTTGCAATAGTTCTGCATTTCCTCTTTGGGTTAATTAATTAAAAGTATTGATTGATGGGTCGTAACAATTCAAAGGAAAACAAAGTGTGTATGACAACTTGTCCCATAAATAACATCAAATCAATAACGAGATGCTCATATTTAGTGATGCTAGCAAGAGGAGAGTCACATGACTGAAGACGGTGTAATGAACGTGTTTACACTGAATCATCAATAACCGTCCAAATGAGTTTAATTAGGATGTAGTGCTTCATTAACAGGGCGCACTAATGGATCAGTGTGTGTGTGTGTGTGTGTATCTGTCTGTGTGTGTGTGTGTGTGTGTGTGTGAGTGTGTCTGTGTGTG